ATGAATTGACACCGAAACCATGTTCAACTTGTTTTAAGAACACGCACTCTCGAACAAATATGCACCTAAAATCATTTGCCACTTTCGTTAGAGCAATGTTCGTTGCTTATCTTACCTAAATCTACATACGTAATTGAGTTTATACGGACCCTCAAAGCGCGTGTCATACTCGCACTTGTCCTGATAATTTTATCATTTTTACCTTTGACACACCACTGACGCGAATCCATTACCTCATTTAGATATATGACGGTAAACCATCTCGTTCGGTGACGTGAAGTAGCGTCAAAGATGTAATAACGCCTGGTAAGGTGATCGGCAATCCACCTACCAAGTGTAAGGCCTCTACACACCAAACCCGCCGGGCTTGTTTTGGGATAATCGTGTCGGCGGATTGCGCCCCCGCGCGCTTCCCGACGGCACATGCCGGCACTTCATGTTCATGTTTGCTGGCTCAGTTGGCCGCCGGCTTTCATAACGTAGCGATGTGCAGTGAAGTGTTTTATTTTTGTTTACGTATCGAATGTAGATATGGAGTGGGATGATGAAAAAGTTGAAAATTTAATAAACCTATATCGTTCTAGAGAAATATATGGAACCCAAAGCACATCGACCACAAAAAGCGACCAAAGCGTTACGACGTTCTCAACGATAGCTACCGAATTGTCTACCAATATCTGAGAAATAGAGAGAAAAATAAAAAACTTAGCAAGCCACTATTTCCGGGAGAAAAAACGAGTATGTACTTCAAAAAAGTCAGGTGCGGGCACAGAATATATTTACCATAGCAAATGGCTTGCTTACAAATCATTAAACTTCCTATGCAATAAAAATAAGGCTACTGCAGTAATCGAAACTCCGTAAGCTCGGTAATCACTAACTGCTGAACGGTACAGCCCGCAGATGCCACGGCCTTCATGCCGCCGGCAAAGGTCGTTCCAGCTTACAATGCTCTAATGCCGCCGGCATAACCCGCCGGATAAAGCCGGCGGGTTTGGTGTGTAAAGGCCTTAACGATTTATCGTTTGTAGGGGAAGTCCGGGCAAAGTGAATAGTCTTCACTATTACCAAACTATTTGTTTTATGCTTCCTCTACACTACTCGCGAAGTAACTTCGACGAAGTGCTCGTCGAAGTCGATCGCAGTCCGAAGAACGTGTCCACACACTCGTGCTACTTTGTGAAGAGCTCAGTCGTCTTGAGTCTCCCGCACCGTTAACATGAATGACGTTCAAGAGGCAGCTGCTTTATGTACCTAATTGTGTGAACAGTACGACGTCAATGCGTTAACTAAATAAACAATTATGTAGAAGGCTATATATTTAATATTTATATATATAAAAAAAATATTTATAACTGGCGTAAGGCGAGTAGTGTAGTGAGACGCTTCGTGTAACTTCGATGTACTTCGCGAAGCCCTTTGACTCTGGCGCAAAAAACCGACAGCGATCGGAAGTCGGACGAAGTGAAGCGAGGTTGGACGAAGTGTATCGAAGTACCTCTCTACACTATTCGCCTCGTCCAACTTCGATCTACTTCGCGAGTAGTGTAGAGGAGGCAATACATTAACCACGTGGCCATAGCAACGTTCCGCCATCTTATCTCAGTGAGTGGCAAATACTTAAGCGAGAGGTCGCGTCGCGTGGCGTCCGCAGTACGGTGAATTGTGTTTTCGAAAAATAATTTCCAATATTTCAAGGTAAGTGTTTTGATGATATTTCCTATATTATTTGTTTTTATCATACTTGTGCGTAATATAGTTCTATTACGTATCAAAGTGCCTTTTTAAAATATGTTGAACAGGGAATCGAGATCAATAGTTTTTATATTAACTAACTTAACCTTAAAAGTGGTCGTGTTGGGCAAAGTGAATAGGGCAAAGCGGATATGATATCCACTTTGCCCAGCTTTTACGATTTTTAGTATCAGTATTATAAATCTCATATTTTGTTGCAGATGGTGCATAAATACAAAGTAACTAATCAAGGCTCTTGGGATAAAGACGTCATGCAGATGGCCGTAAATTTATGCCATGCCGGAGAATCGGTGAAGGGCACAGCTAAAACGTATGGGTTGGATTATGCAACTTTGTACAGACACATCAAAAGTGGCAAGGTTACTCCAAAACTTGGCAGATCTCGTCCTATGTTCAGTGAAGATGAGGATATAGAGTTAATGAGCTATCCCAAAGACATATCCCAAAGAGGATTCCGTGTTTTTGGTTTAACTCGAGATGAGTTTAAGAATATAGCGTATTTCTATGCAAAAAAAATAATAATTTGAGTTACCCAAAAAGTTGGGGCAAGTATGAAAAAGCCGCAGATGATTGGCTACAATCATTTTTGTCATGCTCCAATGACATTACGCACAGGACTGCAGAGGTTACATCGGTTGCGGGAGCGAGAGTATTCAATAGACGTGAAGTCAGATGTTTCTACGAAAATCTCGAATCTTTGATTGATAAACACAATATTGATGCATCTAGATTTCATAACATGGACGAAACCGGTATTTCGACGTCATCCATCGAACGCCCTAGAATATTATCAATAAAAGGAAAGTAACAGGTGGGTATAATTGCAAGTGCGGAGCCAGGTCAATTAACGACTGTCATCGGGTGTTGTAATGCCGCTGGATCATTTCTACCACCCTTCCTAATTTTCGCCAGTAATATACAACCCAGACTTCTTGACGGTGCGCCTCCCGGGACTCCAGGGACTTGTACGCCAAATGGTTGGACTTTAGGTGAGGTATTTCTTGATTGGATGCATTTCTTCGTAGAACATGTAAGTACGACCTAGCATCAACAAAAAGGTATTTCTACTCTGAGACAACTATGAGAGCCACAAATATTATCGTGCTTTGGAATATGCTAGTAAGAATGGCGTCATAATTGTATCCTTGATCCCGCATACTACTCATGTAATTAGAAGGTAGTTATTCACTTTGCCCATACACCATATCCACTTTACCCGGGGGTACGGGCAAAGTGAATACTATCTCACCTTTTTGAATTTTATTTTTTGTTACTAGTTGTTTTACTTTTAAAGTTAAATGATTATAATATATGTAAAAGCAATTAATAAAGACTGATTTGAGATATTTGTTTTGTTTGCATCTCTTATAAATTTCCTGATAAAGCCTAGAATATCTTAAGGTATTCACTTTGCCCGGACTTCCCCTAACTATGGTGTGTAAAGGCCTTAACGATTTATCGTATGCAACTAGAGAGTCCATATCCGGCAGTGGGATTTTTCATTCATTCATTACAGCCTACGAGTATTAGGTTTACTGCTAAACTTAGGCCTTCTCCACTGATTGCCCCCTAGGAGGAATATTTACCATAGTTACCACGCTTGGCAGGTGGTTTAGCAACCGCCGCTGCTGCCCATCTTCCATTTAAGTTTTTCTCTGTCGTTTCCTACCACATCCAGGCGATAATATGGGATAAAGGATATTTTTACGCTGCCAAACACAGCTGCATCAAGACAATTTCAGTCTTTATGATGCAGTGACGTGCGTCGAAAACACGTTAATTTATAATACAACTAGCTGACCAGGCAGACGTTTTTCTGCCCTTCTCTGAGATGACCCTTTCTCCAATAAAAAAATTCTTAAATTCCTAATAAAAAATGTTAAGAGTCACTTATCGGGATAAAAAGTATCCTATCTCTCAAGTTGGACCAAACTGCACACAGTGTGCAAAATTTCATTGAAATCAGTTCAGTAGTTTAGGAGTTCATCGCGGACAAACAATGTGACACGTAATTTTTATATATAAAGATTAACTATGATCCTAGGCTACAAGTTTTATCTATTTGTATAATTAAATAAACCTTAAAATAATGCACACACACAGAAAACAAGAATACAGTAAGCAACCTACGTACCTAAGCATCGCTTTGATGTAGATATTATATCTATACAATTTATATGTTATCGTTCAAGTTTAAACAAAGAAGTATTAGTAAGTTCGTTGCAGTAGTAACGGAGACAGTAGACAGTAAAGAATATTAAGTACGTAGTAAGAACATTTACTTCAGTGTATTTGACCTAAAAAAACAAAAACATTTATATCTTATCTTAAACTCAGCATAATCAAAAATTCAATAATTTTATATTATCTTTAACTGATATATATCACTTTTACAAAAAAAAATTGATAAAAATTTAATTTCGTTTTAATCAAACTATACTAATCCGCTATCCAAACGTAGCAACAATGGCAAAACTTCTCTACTTTGGAAGAGACATGTCCAGCTGTTTTAAGCTGATGAGATTACAGGCGAGCAAATGACATTAATTTAAAAAAATGATTTTATCGCGTTTAATCTTAACTTTTTAATCCCCGATATTTCGGGCGCTTTACAGCACGCATAATCACGGGTGTCACTGCCGAGCTCCAGCACGTCAAGCAAGTACTGCACGACAACAAACTCGGGATTAGTCAATTCTTATAGTCGTCTATATATCTAACAGATTGATGGTGAATGTGGTCTCTCTTACACAGGACAAACAAAACATATACATACATTATATGATGGACGGCTGGCTGGATGCTACCATCTGCTTGGGATCCCATAATTAATAAAATTAAATGCAAGCTCAAGTATACAACTGCAAGACTATAAGATACTGTAAGCTCGTTCTGCGGAGATTGGACCAAAGATTAATATTTAAAAGTTAAAGGTTGCCTTCGTTACCAATGAGCTATGAGCCTAAAACGTCGGGAATTAAAAAGTTAAAATTAAACGCGATAAAATCCGTAAAAGTAGTTTCATTTAATTTAAAACAAATCATAGAAAGAACTGTGTACTGTATATTCGCTTAAAATTTAAAATTATTGGATGGTATGATGTATTTGTATTGTATCCAATAATAGTAGAGTTTTGCCGGTTTGTGACCAAGTCGTACAAAGAAGGGCGAGTCGCTAATTAAACATAATTTAATTTACAATGACTTAAGGAAGCGAAGTATTTGTAGGTACTTATTGTTTTTAATTTAAACATTAATCCGACATTCGTTATAAGGCGGAGGAGGGGTCTCAGCGCGGTTCGGAACTCTAATTGCATCTGCATGCAACATTGGCTCCCTAACGCCGGGTACGCCGTACGCTGGAAACGGTGCATTCCTCTCCGGCAACGAAAGCTGCCGTCTATACAGTGGAGGCGTTTCCAAATCCGGATTTAAGATGTTGCTTAACAGCAAATTCGTTCTCATATCACCATCGGCTAATCTATGATTTCGTCTACGTGGTCTACTATTGTCACTTCGCAAACACATCAAACTACCACATTTACAAAACTGTCGCAGCCAAACATAAGTTCCGACTACACCTATGGCGAGTCCCACTTCTAACCCCATAACAAACGCTTGAACCGCTGAGAAATCTTTGTCGAACTTTTCAAACGGCGTGAGAGACCTCGTAGGAACATCCGACGGAATCGTTTTATTTTCACTTTTTGTGATATTCCAAACCCGATCCACATCAACTGCCTCTTTCTCCGGTGTAACAACTGAAATCATTTTCTCCGACATCTTTGGGAGTTTCTTTTTGCATTGCTTGGAATAAGTTATACCGCGAGATACAATCCAAGATTCGACGGCGATAAAAGCGGGATTACACTGCCAATACTCGTTTCGCAGTTCTACTCTTTCCAATTTTTTTAAAGGTCGTAACACTTCAAAATTTATAGAAATCATGTAATTATCACTTAAGTCTAGCTTTTTTAAATTTGGAAGTCGTGTAAACAGTCTCTCGGGCAACGCCTTAATGCGACAATTGTTAAGGTTTAATATCTGCAAAAATATAATATAACAATTAATTTCACACTTCGAATTATGTATAATAATAATGTTATTACTAAAACAGTGAAGTGGAGATATAAGTGTAGGTTCACCGGACAATGTACCGTACGATTATTGCGGCTTACGCGTTCTTTAGCTATTTTTTTTAATTATTTTATATTTTTTTTTAATTTACGTGGTAGAGCCATGCTACACCTATATTAGTAGTATAGTTGTAGCACGAATGGGTCGGCTCGACCGGGGAAGGACCACGCTCTCACAGAAAACCAGCGTCAAATAGCAGCTCAATTCTGCTGTGTTTTGTATGGTGAGTGTAGAGAACCGGAGACCCTTACTACTGGCAAAGAGGCATTCCATCTTAGTCCTCACGGATGACAACGCAACTGCATCTTGAGTCTTTATTGAGGATAGATGTAGATGTCTATGGGTCACAGTAACACTTACCATCAGATGGACTGTATGCTCGTTTTTCAGCCTATCCTATAAAAAAAATAGTGATCCACTTTCGCATATGGCATAACTATATTTTTTTGTTTTAAACTAGAATTTTCCAATAATTTCAACGGGCACGTGTATTTTCTAACTATTCATCTGTACTCTTCTTTGTTTGAAGTTGGCTTCAGATGTCCCTTGGTCTACAGTAGTCACTTACCATCAGGTGGCTGTAAGTTCGTTTGTATATACGATATACTTTCACTGTTTTGAAAAATATTTAAGTTTCTTGGCACGCATTGTTTCTTACACGAACACGAAATCTTCTTGTTAGTGCAGTCCCTAACAATTTTTAAAGAAACAAAATTTGCATATGAAATCCGAATTTCGTCTTTTTAATCACTATTTCGTGAATATCCACTCCTGGAATTGGGCCAATTAATACGGCGTGGTGTTGCCACGGTCACAATCAGCCAGTAGGATATAACAATAATAAGTTTATCTTACCTGCAGCTTCGTATGCATTAGGAAAGGTTCATTCTTGAGAGATTCAAAAACATTTCCCGACAAATCTAGTGTGTCCAGTTGCGGTGTATCCCAGAACAGATCCGGTGGTATATATCGTAGTCTGTTTGTACTCAGATCTAGGTAAATCAAATTATCTAGACCGGAAAATGCATGCAGTCCAATCCAAAAAATTAGATTATATGATAGATTCAGTATTCGGATTGATGTGTAGCCGAGTTCCTAAGGACAAACAGTTTTTTTAAGAAAATAAATCTTAATTTAAAACTAGAATCAAATCGGCCCAAGGTTTTTTGGATTTCGAGCATGGAATGACAGATATCATACAGAAAAAACTACGATACTAACTAGCTAACCGCCACTAAGGCCGGCCACATACATACGGAATTCCGTTTCGAGATTCCGTTTCGATATTCCGATTCGGAATCCCGAACGCAGCAAGTCCATATAAAATCTATGACCCGCCACACATGTACGGTAGTTTTCCGTTCGATATTTTGCGGGCAAAACGGGATTCCGTTTGTGTGTGGCCGACCGTTCGAAATTCCGAAACGGAATCTCGAAACGGAATTCCGTATGTATATAGCGGGCCTAAGAGTGTAGATTACTCACGTATAGGTACTAAGTAGCAGTCTACTTTTGAAATTTACTTCCTTGTATATTTAATTGAAATATACAAAGAATTTATACCCCTAATTTATGAAGGTATGTTCATGCTATGAACTATGTGAAATTTGTGAAAACATTTAGATGTTTGCAAAGACGTAATAAAAAAAGGATATTTGTAACTCAATCATGCGTAAACTTAAACATTAATCCGAAAAACTTCAACTTCCTTGTGGAATCGATTACCACCAGCGATTTATCCGGACCGATACGACTTAGGAACCTTCAAGAAAAGAGCCTACTCCTTTTTAAAAGGCCGGCAACGCATCTGCGATTCCCCTGGTGTTGCAGTTGTTCATGGGCGGCGATAGTCACTTACCATCAGGTGAGGCGCATGCTCGTTTGTCCCCTCTCCTATAAAAAAATAAATAAAAAGAAAAATGCCATTCAGATATGTAAATATACCATGTCTGTTACCGCGTGAAAACGAAAATTAAAGAGTATTCGTATTTCCATGTACGCGTATTCCGACGTATTTCTATATTGTTTTTGATAAAATATAAGTATTTAATAAACAGCGTTTCCTTACTTTGAAACAAAAGTTGTCCAACTCGTTAATCGCATTATGACTTAGACTGTACACTTGCACTTCACGCGGCACATCGATTCCTACGCTGACAATATTTTGATCCACACACGTCGCTCTATTCAACCCATTTTCCATGTCACAGTCACATTGCTTCGGACACAAAGAACCATGAGCAAAAGCAATGCACGCAATTAAAATAAATGTGTTCAACGCCAGCATCTTCCTTGCACTACCACACATGCATATGAAAAACTAGACATTATGAATTTAGTTTAAACCTTGAATAAATCAAACTGCACTAACGCATGCTTTCGCACAATAATAGAATGTTATAAAAACAGATAGAACACAATATCTTCGAGTATGTGGATGCGAGATAAGATAAATTATTATCTATACATAGATTACTCACATACTAATGGGTAGAAAGTAAAGGTGTGGTAAGGAACTAAGCAGGTAAATTTTCAATATAAGTAGTGTTATAAATTCCTTCATTCATTCATCACATCCTAGCAAAAGTCCGCTGCTGAACATAGGCTCCCGAAAGGATTGCCATATAAAGCGGATTTTGACATGATTGCCGCGCTTGGCTGGCGTATTGGCACTCGCAGCTTTTTATTATTTTCGATTGTTATATAGAAGATGCTGCTGCCCATTTTAGTTTACCCCTGTCCTCACAGCGTGATATGGGGTAGTGGACATTGTTACGCTGCCGCTACACAGCGTTTTATAGATAATGTGCCTACTAACCTACATAATATAAATATATATAGCATCGGTGAGTGTGATGTTAGCGTAAAATCCATCGCTCCGTTTCGTCTTTTGGATGTTGTAAGGGGCGACTATGCGAAATGCCAGTGAACCAATCATGGCTTCGGATAGATAGCAGTATAACCATACCGGTTACGCCAGACGTAAAATACCCAAACCTGACTCTGTAATCGTCAATTCATCTGCCTAGTGACGATTCAGGCAAATAATCCATAACGGGAGAGTCCCATGTTCAGCTGTGGACTTTTACGGGCTGACGATGATGATGATGATGATATACTTAGTATTATTATTTGCTTTCTAATTTTTCATTCGATTTTTCATTTATGAATATTTTTATTAGTAAAGTGAATCGGTGAGTTTTTCTGACAATTGTCCACAGGCAGTAGTTAGATACTCTAGTCTAGCAACAATTTGTGCTAAACTGTTACCGTATTAAAATAGAATAGAATCATTTTCATTCAATATAGACAAGAATACTCGTACCTACTTATTGAAAGTTACATGAGTTTTACCACTGGTTCGGAAAAAACTCCTGTCCTAGGAAGAACCAGCAAGAAACACCGCGGGACTTTTTTTTTCAATTAATTTACAAATATAATATTTTGTACAATTAAGTTACATAAATAATGTATTATTATTAAGGATTGTTACCAAATATTTTATTCTTATCAATCAATCAATTTAGATTTAAAAGCCAAGTTCTACGGATACCATGTCTTTTACGTTCCAGCAAACAGTTAATATACGTAGGTCACTCAATTAGTTTTGAGATATACAAAAAGTATTCAAGATACTATTAATATTTATTTTACATCTTTTCAAAATATTCTCCATCATGCTCTATACAACGTTCCATTCGCCTAAACCAACTCTGAAAACACTTTTGCCAGTCTTGATCTGAGAGGTCGGAAATCACTTCTTCGTAGGCAGTCAAGGCTTCTTCGGCACTTGAAAAAAACTTGCCTTTTAGTTTTTCTTTCACTCTTGGGAACAAAAAGAAATCACAAGGAGCTAAGTCAGGGCTGTAGGGTGGGTGACTAAAGAGTTTCAACACCAGATTCCTCAATAAATACTTTTGTTCTGAGGGAGGTAAGCCCGGTCTTTGGTCTTCTCTACCGCACAGCCTGAAAACCTTTGGGTAATGCAACTGTAGTATACCATTCAGAGTTGACTGACCTACAATTTTCCAGTATTGAAGTCGACAAATGTCCGCTCCGCAAAAAAAAAAAAACTAGCCACCATTTTTTTGCCGACGTTGAGAGGTCTTTGCAGTTTTGTCGGTAACTGTTATTCTGAGTAGACCTATACCGATGATTGTCTTTTATTTTCCCGATCATATTGATAGATCCAAGTCTCGTCGCTTTCGGATTTCGGAAATCTGTTTTTCGCTTTCGGAGAGCAAACGAGGGATCCATCGACAACAAAGCTTCCTCACTCCAAGATGTTGATGTAGGATGATATGAATGCTCCCCGAACTAATGCCTACAATCTTTTCGATGTCCGTATATGTGATTCGTGAGTCTTCTCGCACCAACATTTCAGTAGTCCATACATTTCTGCCGTTACTGCTGTTTGTGGGGCCCCGGTTCTTAAAGATCAGATTAATTTTACCCCTTTTGAATTCAGCAAACCACCTAAAAATTGTTGCGCGTGATGGAGCTGAGTCTCCTAATGCTGATTGTAACCGTTGTAAACTTAATTGTTCGGTGAAACCAAATTTAAAATCATAATATATCATAGCGTGCAAATGTTCACGGTTAAGATCCATCGTTTTAAATGAAAAGCGCGGGAAGTGTTGCAGGAAAATTAATATAACTTTGTTTTTCATTTAATATTGAGCAATTGGCTTATGGAGTTCTTTCTATTTTTAAATAAATTTGCTTTTTAGAAACATAACACGGGTGCGTTCCATTTTTAAGTTTCGAGCATCTCAAAACTTATTGAGTGACCTACGTAATAAACGTATATATATTTACCGTAAACGTATATGTCGGAGTGTCTATAAAATACCGGGTTGGATCGAGGTAGAATGGAGGGTATATCGAAAAACCCCCTCTTGTGTCGGTAGTATAAAGTTCACTGTAGGTGCCGTGTGCGGGAGATTCCGCTCAAGTCATTCAACGGGTGTGGTCATTCGACTAGTGCTAAGATATTGTCGTGGTTCTGTTCGTTGTGGTAATTCTTCTAGTGCAGGCAAGGAGGATTGGTGTTGCTGAGAGGCTGCCCTGTGTTACATTGAGATAAGGAGTGTTGCTGTTGCTGTACATATTTTGGTGTTATCATGTAATTACGTACCCCACGTTACACTGGTGTGTGATTGTGGCTGAGACGTATTACGGTGTGGTCGAACTGTAATTTCACTATACTGAATGTATAGTGCGTTACGTTGTCTTATTACTGATAATGATTAAACTGCGTAAGCAAGAGAGCAAGTTGAACATCCGCTCTCACACTTTTATTATTTTTAACAATTAACGCTATCCTGATGTATTTCCAAGATCAAAATTGGAATCCCCTCTATTGTCATTTCCGATATCAGAAGTGGGATCTCCTGTTGTCATTTCCGATATCAGAAGTGGGATAAAGTCCCTGTTACTGCCCACCTATAAACTTGGAATAGTGTGAAATACGTTGGTGAAATACTATGATACGCCTCGCGTTTTGTTTTTGTGTTTAATTTCTTAAATCAAGTTTGTTGTCGTATTTACAACACTGACGAATAAAGTAAAGTTTAAAGTGAAATGTTTTAAGCCAAAAGTTAAATCTTTTTGTTCGATTAATGATAAAAAGTACCCGCAAGTACTTTCATTATTTCTTAACGTACCCAAACATGATAACAAATGTCGAAAGAAATGTTGAAGGTATTCTAAATGAGTTATAGTTTGCATTCAGTGGAAGTTGAACTTGCTCAAGTTATGTTATAATTTGATATACGAGGTGTGATTTACATGGGCTAATTTTAAAGTTCAAAATGTTTAAACGATGTACCGAAAAAAAGAACATGTTTACTTTAACGTGCTATGACTTAAAAACACTAAGTAGTATTTTTGTGTTCTAATGTGATGTTAAGTGTTACAGTTTACTGCGAGTATTACGTAGTCGATGAAATTGGGATTTGATGTTGAGGGTTTAGTGAAAAGCGTGGTGCTGTGGCACTCGCTTTGGAGTGTAAGTATGCTGTCGGCTTATGACGCCGCGGCCATGTTAATTGCCGCTGCTACCGATCACCATTTGATAAACGAGGAAAGTAAATTTATCTTAAGGTTAACTGGTGGCGAAAAATGCCGGAAAACCAAAGTATAATTAACGAAATTAAAGTGGAGCAAATTACTTCTGACATTGAAGAGAGTATTTAAGTTTACAAGAGAATCGGACCGTACCAAAGGAGGTCGTGTAGCCGCAGCTCAGTATATGGTGCCCTGGAAAGATGAATAGTGTCCTGAGTGTACTGCTGCATTTTTATTTGAAAAGAAAAAGTTCCAACTGAATATTTTTAATGTTTTCTTTTATGTGTTACAGTAGCTCGTGTGATGTGATTACAAGTGCGTGAGTGTGTGCCTTACTGGTCGTAACGGACAGCCAGGTCCAGCTGTAACATGGCCTGGTTTCGGCAGATGCGTATGCGCGTATACGCAGGCGCCATCCCGGAGCGCGCGTATGCAGTACATGGCGGTGCCTCAGAAGTCTTACACTATGTGTGCGCGGCAGTCTTACACTATGTGTACGCGGCAGTCTTACACGATGTGTGCGCGGCAGTCTTACACTGTGTGTGCGCGGCAGTCTTGCACTATGTGTGCGCGGCAGTCGTACACTATGTGTGCGCGGAAGTCGTATTCTCTAAACATGCATCAGGCTCTGTCCTGACAGGCGCCATCCTGGTTCACGTTTTTATCGTGGTTCACGTGGTTAACGTGGGATCTCGCAAGATCAAGTACGAGTATGTGTGAGATACTTCGTATGGAGATCTATGCATACTTGTGAAAGCGAAGTGTATTATTATAGTTCACGGTATGAGAGCGTATTTCTGTTTGAGGGCCTCGTATGTGTGATGGATGAGAGAATAGGCAACTGTGTATGTTGTCCTGATAATTAACAACTTCTTTTTCACGCAGATCATGATGACTGCAACCTCGACGATGCCTGTGAACCCTCAGGTGAACTTGCTGCTTCCGTTGACGCTTGGAGTGCGTGGTACGGTGCAGCATCTCGCTGGCGATGGTGAGATGCGACGACTCGTTGGTGCGAGTGCGGCACGCCGTGTGCTGTTCTTTTAGCCACGTGCGCTTGCCACATGGTAGCTAAGTATGGCGTGTGCTGGTTTGTTTTAATAGCCACGTGCACTTGCCTTACGCCTGCCGCAGAGGCGAGCAGTGAGCGACGTGTTGATGCTTACTATGTGAGCAAACCCAGCGGTGTGCTGATGAATACTGGTGAGTCATATCCAT